CTTCCTCCATTACAATTTCCTCCTCTTCAAAGCAGGAGTCAGGTGCACTAGTGCAAGTGGTTGACGAGGACGAAGAGCTGGAACCTGTGCAGCAGTCCTCGTTGGTGTCAGTGGAGAGAAGGGCAAGAGCATCTCCACATCCGTCAATGCCAATATCGTCGATGTCGTCTTCGGCGGCGTTGGCGGCGTTGTCGTTGTCGTTGTCGATATGGCTGTTCTGTTTGCTATTGTTGCCAGACGACGTGGAGGTGCAACAGCAACTGCAGCAGCTGTCGCTGTCGCTGTTCTTGTTGTCCTGAGCAACAATTGTTGTCGCTGGAGCTGGTGGTGGTGGTGGCCCCTGAGTGGAAGAGGTGCTGCTGGCCGTCACCACGGCAGCCGCCGCCGTACAAGCGACGGCGTACAATTCTGCGGCGGCAGCGGCGAGATCAAATGAACGGCTCTTGCTGCTATTGCCGCTGCTGCCCTTTAACAGCTGGTGCTGATCTGATTTGCTATCTGTACTATCAGATGCTGTAGTGGTGGTGGTGGTGGTCGCATGTCTGTAGAAGGGCAATCGGTCCAAGAGGGGCAACGATGATCGGGAGGCACCGGTAACGGCGGTCGACGCTGAGGAGCGTCCAAAGTCTGGCTCTTTTGTGACGGCAGCCATCATCATAACTTCGGGACACATGAAAGGATAATTGAGTAAAGGTTGAGGTTGAGGTAGGTTATAAAGAGCAACTGGAAGGGAGTAGTTGAAGCTGACACCTCTGTGAAGACCGGTGATAGTGGTGGTGATGATTGCTGGGTAATGCATAAAACACTTGAGACATCAGCAGTGTTATAAACAGCAGAGAATCCGTTTTTTACAAGCTTGTTAACACAAGTGGAACATGAAAAGGTAGGAGATGATGATGATGCTGATCATCTAATCATCGACGTTGTAAAACAGTGGACTGCAGTGGGCAACAGTGAACATCTGCTGGAACATCACAGTGTTGCTATTTTGATTTGAGTAGTTGCAAGAGTGCTGATGAGGATTCTGCAGTGCATTACAGTGTGTGTGCTTGCGAGCGAGCAAGAGAGATTGAGAGATACTGTCGGTCTGACTGATAGAGAACGAGTAAACGGACTCGGCCGTCGGCGATCGAGCTTTATAAAGAACGAGTCACGGAGAGCGAGAGAGGGACAAATCAAATGTCGAAGAGAGAACAAGAGGGCTTAGATGAGCTGAGCGTGAGAGATGTGTCAGTCGATGTCGGCGACAAAGTGGCAACTGATCAGAGTCAGAGTTGGTCTGTCGGTCGGAGTCTGTGTGAGGAGAGAGGATAGTAGCTGTAGTGTGAGCAAGACTCACAAACAAGCAAGTATGACTGTGTGCCCCTCTCTTTCGCTCTTCCACTACTGTACATGTACACTCACTCACTTCCCAAGCACAATCTCCTACTCTTCCACACTGCTACTGCCTCACCAGGACGCTCGGGTAGAGGTCTTACTACTCCACAAAACAGGTGTTTGTGGTAGTGGTGGCGATGGGGATGAAAGCCTGGTCAGAAAGGCTTTCTCATCACTCGGGAATGCACTCTTGCACTCCCCTCCCAGGTAAGACACAGACAGACAGACAGACAGGTCAGCAGACCAGTCAAACCAAATAACGTGAGTGCTAGTGCATCTGCTGCTGATGCTGCTACTGCAGATCCTACGTGAGTAATGGGTAGTGTGCACTGTGTACAACTAGTGCTAGTACTGAAGAAGTCTTGAGGATGATAATGACGGCAATGACGATGACTCCAGGAACAAAAACAGGGTAGCTCTTTTTCTGTTTCCAAAGATCATCGATCTTTTAGCAACTCACTCAAAAGCACAAACAAACAATTTTTCTTGAAGAGAGGCGTGTTCCAGACGCTGGATGACGATTGAGCTGAATGATGACAAATTAATCATCGAACAGATGATTAGTTTGTATTACACAATCTGGGACCACCTGTGCCATCATCAGAAGCAACATCAACAGCAGCAATTGAGAGAAATTAAATGAAACGAAAATCCATTAACTGCCAAAAAGTCCCAGCAAAAATGAAGTTAGCGGTGGCCAGTTGCGCGAACACACTGTTTCTGACGTGTATCGGTGTGTTTCTAGTTGCTTGCTTGATCCAATCGATGGCTCATTTGAAGTGGTAAATGTGAAAAACCACACAAGCAACCACTACCATTCACTTGACTTCACTTGACGCTAAGCGCTAACAGAAGACAAAGTCTGATCAGATCAAGGTGATTGAGTGGAGGTGGCGGTGGTGGTGGCCCTTGAGGTCGGCAAATATTTGCCAAGAATTCAGGTGAGAAACAAGAGATAAATAAGAGTGGAAAGAAAGCAATGGACAATGACAATAAAAGAGGATTGCATCCAGGCTGCAATCTTTCAATGCTGCTGCTGATGGGCAATCAAGTGAGACCAATTCTGCAGAAGACTGCCGGGCAGATTAGCTCTCACGGCTGCTATTGCACCGATTGCATCAACAGGGCATCTTTTTCTGTGTCTGTGCATGTTTTGAAACACACGAGGATGCTATTGTCTAACAATCAGCAGCAGCTGAGAACAACAACAGCACAACAGGACAAAAATAGAAGTGGAAAATGGGTGTCTTGAGCAACCAGACTGGTAGATCCGTGATTTCCTGGTAGGGGTGCACTTGCAAAACTTTTACCAACAAAACAAAACTAAATTGTTTTGCAGGCGCCTGAATAGATTGTACTGAGAGTACCGTACTGGTGATCAGAATGGTTAGGTTAAGTGATCTTGAATGAACGCGAAAGAGTGAGAGAGAGAGAGAGAGAGAGAGAAAGAGGCTGTGACGATCACATGTTCTTTTGTTGTTTTGTGCAATACCGGTGCTGTTGGTAGCAATCTCTTTCTTCTTCTTCTTCTTCACTCGGGCAACGACGTAATCAGATGTGCCCTTTCTTCTGCTTTGTTTCTAGCCTTCTATCTCGACGACGACGACGACGACGTCTTCCTTCTTCCTCACGTCATGAGCACCACATAGACATACGTAAACGGCGTAGCGCCAGTGGCACGAAACGTTGTGAATCGTTGTCAACAANTGAGCACCACATAGACATACGTAAACGGCGTAGCGCCAGTGGCACGAAACGTTGTGAATCGTTGTCAACAAGTCAACAAGTCACCAGTGTACAACCACTGGCTGGCTGACTGTAAGTGGAAAAAGTTGAAAAGGTGCATGACTCAGGTGACGGAAAGAAAAGCTGCACAGCAGCAGCAGCAGCAGTGTCTTTTATCTTTGAAGAAATTAGCAAACTGCAGCAACAGCGAAAATTGCCATTCATGATGGTCAAAGAAGAGGGTGACTGAATGGGTTTACTAGAGCACAGTGCTCTGAAACTGGTAGTTCACTCACAGTGTCGCAGGTAGTCCCCACCTGAATTAAAAACAATCTTGCAGGAGGAAACTAGCTTAGAGCTTTGCTAAGCTAAGCACCTATCACCACCTCCATCAACACTGGCCTCGCTACCAGCAGCAGCAGTACCTTTCCCACAATCAGCAGAAAGTGTGTACAATCAGGCGACATCAGATCTTCAGCCGCACCGGTACCGGCAGCAGCAGCAGCAGCAGCTAATTCACGTCAGCTGGCGTGTCAGCAGTTTTGCAGCATCGAGTGCACTCACTACTACAGACACAACTCAAACGAGCATGTCGCCTGGTTGTGTGTTTTCATTGCACCAAGTGCAAACTAGGGAGAGAGAGACCATCGAGAGCATAAACACTTGACTATTAGGCAAATACTACAAACAAGTACGGGGAAGGAAAGAGGATGGGAAGGGGGAAAATAGCCAAGGTAAATGAGCGCACTTGGTTCTAGCGACTGATGGTAGTTTGCTGTTAGCACACTGATAACGAAACACTCTCTCACACTCACACCAAGTCTCTCTGTTTGCCCTAGGTTTGAGCACCAGAAAGCGAGTGGTGTACTCATTTGGTCACGGTATCAACACACACGCCGTACAAACCGAGCCCTTTTGTACAAAAGGCAATCGATGGAGGTGCTGATAGCAATGGACTAGTGAAGCTGCTGTCGTCGTCGTTGCCAGGTGTTGACGGCTCACCGGTGAAAGAGAGGGCATGTTTTATTCAACAAACAACGGAGAGGCACAGCATCAGCAGGCAAACACCACCACTCAAGTGCAGCACCAGAAAGTTCGACTACATTTTCTCCTGCTGCTGCAGCTTTTTCCCCCGCTATCTTCATTTTCATCTGTACGGCAGTCGTCCGAATGCACTGCGTCCGCAACTTGTCACCCCTTTTAACCTGCTCAACTGCCGTTGTCTAATTATCAGCCGATGTGTGTTGTGTTGTGCAATTAAGCAAGACATGACCAAAACAAGTGGAGATCTACTAATATTATTAGGCCAGCGCCGCTGTCAGCGCCTAAAAGGTAATAAACCCCAAATGTACAAGGGCTCTTTGACAGTAAACTTATTGACTAGAGTGCATCTCAATTTGGGGTGAACCCGCACTGACAAAACTAGAAAGTAGAAAGAGGGGGAAAAGAAAGAGAGAAACGACAACAGAGTAAATAAGCCGAGTTTTAATTTTACTCGCAGCACCAGTGGAAATCAGCGCGTGCACACGCGTACAAATATGAATTACCTAACTGAAACGATTTGTAGCAGCACTAATGGTGTGGTGGGAACTAACCTACTTCTAGCCACTAAATCTTCCCTTCTTCTCTCTACCCCTTCTCAGATGATCGAGAGAGAACAAGAAAAAGAGCATTTAGAGCACTAAAGTACGCCGACTAACTGTGAATGTGCCTGGTGGACAATGAGAGCAGCAGCACTTCATAGCCGATCACGCGCAGGCAGTGAGCATTTCCTCTTGAGCACTACTACCACCAACACAAATTGACTGCTAGCTAGTTTCTGCTTATCAATTGAGGATAAGCAAAAGACAGATGCAGCGACGGCAGAAGTGGCAGCAAACAGAACAGCACCAGCATACTAAATTGGCGTCATTTTCGGATGAAAGACTCATTGTCGGATGAGTTGTGTGCACTGAGAAAGTGAAAATGAAAATGAAAATAAAGAGAATGCGGGGAAAGATAGGAGAGTGAAAGAAGAAAAAGGGAAAAG